TCCTTTTCTATCAGAGGCGAGTCTATTTCGATTTACAGCTTTCTAGTTTAAGAAAATAATCGTGGTTCCGGCCATAAGTAGTTTAGTAATGACTGATTTTACGTACATAAATTGATTTAATTAATTAATTAATTTAATGGTCAAAAATGCCGAAAATAGAAATAGTAGCTCCATCCTTTTCTAGGATTAGCGCTGATCTCAAGGATTTCGGACGTGTATCGCGGCACGTAGGCACATCATAGCGTCACGGAAATTTCCATACTAAATTACACATTTATTAGAATTAAAAATAAAATAATACGTAATCTTGGTTTAATGATTCAAACTCAATGTTTAATTATTGGTATGAAAATATTACCTATTCTAAATTAAAATTATAAGATAATTAATATAAACGAAAATATATATATATATATATATATATATTGATTACCGACTGTCGAATTTGGTAGATCGATAATAGATACCTAATGTACTGTCGATAATTGGCAACTACGGTCGATAATTGACTATTCTAATCGATGGATAGAAGATTGTCGCGATGACGCCGGTAGAAAGAAAAAAGGTTTCCCCAGGGACGTTACAGTTGTTTGTACCCGTATGTACCACCTTTACTTTCGTTTGTACCTCAAAGGGTTCGTTTGTACCGCATTTTGAAAAAAATCCCCTAGAGGTAACTTCGTCAATTTTGGGAATTTTTCAAATCTTTTTGAGGGTGCTGTTTCCTCTTCGTCTCTAGTGGTTTGTACCAGCTTTACTTTCGTTTGTACTTCAAAGGGTTCGTCTATACTCATTGTTCAAAAAATACCGTAGCGTTAACTGCGACATTGTACATATACAGTATGGTGTTCGTAAATGTGAAAAACATTTATGATGCGGAAAACTTAGAGCGTAATGGACAATTCTTTCTGTTTCGTACTCTTCGGACTTACCGTTGGGACCGTGGATCCTCGGCTATCAGTTTCGGCAGGCCGAGTCAAACCCGCGGCACTTACCGCAACAATAAGACCGATTTTATGACTTACTACTCAAATCGTGACGTCACTGCTGAAAATCAGTAAATTTTTAAGCGTTATATCTCGAAAACTAATAAAAATCGGGTGAGTACATAAGACCTTGATGATTTCGTCTTAAAAAGCACTATCGCCTGATCGAAAAAAAAATATATAGTTCCATTTAAAAAACGAAACTTCACCATCATATCTTTTACATTAATAACAATAAAAAAATTTTGCTTCCGCCAAAACATAGGGCCTCTTTTACCCTGCAATTTCCATATAAGCAGTTTTTCGTGACATCAATAATTCATGAGATATCACGCTGTAACACTTTGGCGCGGACACCCTGTACATCTAAAGGCTGTGTCAATCCAGTAGTAATTTTTAACCGACTTCGAAAAAGGAGGAGGTTACTCAATTCGATCAGTATATATTTTTTTTTTTTTTTTTTTTTTTTTTTTTTTTTTTTTTTTTTTTTT